TGTCACAAATTGTACTTACCTCCTGATTTTGTTCTAAGTTCGTCCAACTCCTCAACAGAGCCTCCGTAGACGGTGCTGGCGTCGATGTAGGAGGTGAGGATGTTGTACTGTTCCCGAGGTGACGTGTCTGCGGGAGATGCCGAGTTGGTGAGTGGATATAATTCTCAGATATTCCCATTATGATAATCGGTTGAACCCTAATCGCACTCGATTGATTCACCAAAGGTAAAAACGTCCAGGAACTTTCGCGCTACGACTGTCGTAAGTCTTATGTTTTATGGGATGGGAGGTACGATCGCCTTAAAGCTAAAATCACTTTGTCCAACTGCACCCTCTACCTGAGTGACCGACCCCGTAGTATAATGCATAGAGCGTCTGCCAGGAGACAGGAAGGTCCGTTGTTCGATTCCCGGTCGCGTCATACCAAAAGACGCCAAAATATATTTAATTGTTATTACCCTAATCTGGGCCCCGTCTCGTATATCCCAAGTTAGGGCGCAAAGTATTGATTGATTAGGCTTCAATACTACACTGTTTACTACGTGTTGTAGTTGACAGAGTTCTAGTAACATTTAACTGCTCCCTTAATACAGTGGGCAACATTCGCCAGCGATTCAAAATCACAGGTCGGAGTGATTGAGTGAGTGAGTATGGTTTTACGCCGCTTTTTAGCAATATTCCAGCAATATCACGACGGGGGACACCAGAAATGGGCTTCACACATTGTACCCATGTCGGGAATCGAACCCGGGTCTTCGGCGTGACGAGCGAACGCTTTAACCACTAGGCTACCCCACCGCCCCATCACAGGTCGGACAACAGACAGGCCAAGAATAGGCAGACCTAGGGTGACCACGCCCCCTAAAGATCGCTACCTACGCACCTTGCGTCTGTGTAAGATATTCTAGCGTTTGGTAGTGTGGTCAGCAGACAGAAAGTAGCAAGACGACTAAGGGCAGCGGTATCAGAGCCTACAGATCCTACAGAAGCCCGCTGTTGACCAATGATGAATACGATGGACATGAAGAGTGAGGCGTTGGCGACGTCATAATTGACAGCGCGTCCTCTTCACCGACGAGAGCAGGTTATACATGTTCCATTCTGATGGCAAACAACGCGTAGGAAAGGAGAACGCACTGTCGTTTGTTGCGCGTCCTCTTCACCGACGAGAGCAGGATATACATGTTCCATTCTGATGGCAAACAACGCATAGAAAAGGAGAACGTACTGTCGTTTGTTGCGTACAGCAGGTCGTACCCTTTGGGGCTAGGGGTGCCCTGGGGTGTGGACGCATTTGTGGTGACGAGAGGACGCCATTGGCCATCACTGATGGTAATTTGAATGCCGAACGCTACAGAGATGAGGTCCTACGCCCTGTCCTGATTCCATTCCTTCGTTAAAAGCCACGGGGTATCATGTTCAAACACCACAATGCCAGGCTTCATGCAGCTAACGTCGTGCAAAACGTATCATTAACGTCAACAACGGTCATGCGTCACCCTGGCCAGCTCGCTCTCCAATCCCACAGAGAACTTTCGGGATATCATGGGCAGACAAATTCGACGGCAACAACCTCCCAATACTCATTGCAGTCTTCCATGAAGAATGGCGACGCATTCTATGTGACGTCATCAGGCGACTGGCGAATTAGGTGCGTAGGAGAGTGTTTGCCTGCAGCTAATCCACTGGAGGTCACACACGCTACTAGGGTGAAACATACACCACCTTTGGCCATGTTGTGCCGAGCTGACCATTTGGACATGTATTGAAAAACTGTTCTGTGCTCCTCACATTGACATTACCAGACTTATTCCATTGTTCATTGTATTGTTGTGACTGTTGCAACAAGGTTTGAGCACATATTGATGTTTAAAATACCGTTGATTGTTGTTTCTTCGCTATCGAGCTTCAAATCGGCTGCCAAATTCCGTTTGGAGATTAGTTTACAACACTGTTTACAGCACCTGAACAAGTTAATTGACTAGCTTCTAGTACACCCCTGTTTACAGCTCCTGTAGAGATTGACTGACTTCTAATACAACACTGTTTACAGCTCCTGTAGAGATTGACTGACTTCTAGTACACTCCTGTTTACAGCTCCTGTACAAGTTGATTGACTGGCTTCTAGTACACCCCTGTTTACAGCACCTGTACAAGTTAATTGACTAGCTTCTAGTACACCCCTGTTTACAGCTCCTGTAGAGATTGACTGACTTCTAATACAACACTGTTTACGATTCCTGTAGAAGTTGACTGACTTCTACTACAACACTGTTTACAACACCTGTAGTGGTTGCTAGGTAATACTTACTTTGTGGGGAGGATTGCGATCGGCTAAATGGTAGACAGTCGTTAAAGTACCTGTCGCCGGACGGGATAACGATTGGGAAACAATTTCCGCTGAAAATAGAAAACAGTTTGGTGACTATGGAACTTGTTCCCTTCTATGCTGAGACGACATCTTCAGGAGATACATTATGTTTTATTATATAATTATTTTTAGAAATATTTGTCTTGGGAACAAATAATGTCAGTTGTTCTGTACTAAGTATCCATACTCTGGATATATGGATATAAATATATTATTATCAAGCAAAATGGTATATCTTTGTATGGCGAGTAGGTGTATATTCTCCAATGCTGCATATATCGAAATGCCTCACTCTGAGTCATAGTCGGGATGCTTTCCGCTGCTGTCCATTCCTGTACAGCATCCGTGAGCTTTGAACAGATAATGAAATGGCTGTAGCTACTCCCGAACCCGTCATTTCGGTTAGTTTCTTTGAGTGTGGGATTTTCCATAAAGGGCAATGTAGGGAGACAAGAACATGATAAAAAGCTAGAGTACTACTTGAAGTACACGGAAGTACTACAGTATTGCCAACATAGGGGTATGGGGCGTGAAGGTAAAGTTGATATTGTTGCAGGTAGAAAGAGAATATGTTGAAGAAACTACTGTTTTGGTGAAACAATACAATGCATAGAAACATTTGGAAGAAATTGTAAGGGAGATAAAAAGACATAAAGAGAAAAGGTTTGTAGACAGAAAGAGATAAAGAGAATAGTGTTGTAGACAGGATTAGATAATGATAAAGGGAAGAGCGTTGTAGACAGAATTATATAATGATAAACAGAATTCTGTTGTTGACAGGATTAGATAATGATAAAGGGAATAGCGTTGTAGATAGAATTATATAATGATAAACAGAATTCTGTTGTTGACAGGATTAGATAATGATAAAGGGAATCGTGTTGTAGATAGAATTAGATAATGATAAAGGGAATAGAGCTGTAGACAGATTTAGATAATGATAATGGGAATAGAGCTGTAGACTCCTAGGGCTGGATATTGCCCTGGTTCTCATATTGCGATATATTGCAATAATTCAAGAGATATTGCAATACATATTGTGATATATTGACTGGAATGTTTCTGTCGAAGTGCGTACATCATAAATTCATAATAGCTCTGTGTGTGCGACATCATCTTCTTAGTTGCTGTTACACCATACTTTCAGGCTTCCTGTGCCCATTGTGTATGGGTGTATGCCAGTGGTGTACAGATAAATGATATAGAGCCTTAATGTGGAATGTTTCGTTGAAGTAACTGTATTGCAACAAAGTTTTGCGAACATAATGATAAAGGTAAAAGTATAACATGATTTTCATGATCAGTGTTGTTTGCTTCAACAGAATGCACTTCAAAGCAGTATGTAATCATTGTTACTGTTTGTCAGTGATTCATTCACATTCAACTCTAACATAAACATGTGTTAACATGAACTGTTGTAAAATGAAACAAGAACATGATTTAGGTGAACTACTTGAGCATAAAATCTCATGTGATCTCCAATAACTAAGATCCTTGACTAGAATGTCATTATACAGTCCTACAAGATCTATAAGACTTTGGCTTTTACCATAAATTGATAACATAGTCCCATTATGAAACAAAACAAAAATAACAAAATAATGTCAATTGTGAAATGGTCACTCAGAGCCAATACCTCAACTTATAAGTCTGAATAAAAGATTGGTCAAATCTTTGAAGGACATTTAGAAGTGGAATGCATAAGAAAAGCAAGATTTATGGATGTCAACTTTTTTATTGTGAATATTCGTGACCTGATGAAAGAGCAAGCATACCCTCCGAAAAGTTGTGTTATTCACAACAAGAAGTTGACGTCCATAAATCTTGCTTTTCTTAAAAGACCGGTCCATTTGAGGCAACTTAATTCCTCTAAAACGTCACATATGAAACAATTCAAACCCAAAAACCAAAAGCATTTGATAGAATATTTGGCACTTGTAAAATGTTACATGAAACAGAAAAGAAACAAAGGTATATTTGGCACTTTTAGAGCACATGTTGCTATGGAAATCAAGGGCAGATAATTCAAATGGAACTAACTTTGGATGAACCAATATATTGCAGAATCTGAACCATATCGCGATAATCGTATCGCGAGATACTGTACCGGTATATACCGGTTTACCGGTAATATTACACAGCCCTAAATAATGATCAAGGGAATAGAGCAGTAGACAGAACTGGATAATGATAAAGGGGATAGTATTGTAGACAGAATTGGATAATGATAAAGGGAATAGTATTGTAGACAGAATTAGATAATGATAAAGGGAATAGTATTGTAGACAGAATTGGATAATGATAAAGGGAATAGTATTGTAGACAGAATTAGATAATGATAAAGGGAATAGTATTGTAGACAGAATTGGATAATGATAAAGGGAATAGTATTGTAGACAGAATTAGATAATGATAAAGGGAATAGTATTGTAGACAGAATTGGATAGTGATAAAGAGAATGGTATTGTAGACAGAATTGGATAATGATAAAGGGAATAGTGTTGTAGACAGAATTAGGTAATGATAAAGGGAATAGTGCTGTAGATAGAATTAGGAAAGACCGTTGACAGAAAATAACCAAACGAGTTTAACATGGGATGACTATTTTAACTTTCTTACCGTCCGTCCCTGGTGTCCCAGCATAGTCGTGAGCCATGAACTGCCCCCACTGCATGACCAGCAGGTTCAGCGAGGCCTCCAGGGTGCTGTCATTGTCGTTGGGAAAACACGCAACACTAACAGCTCTGGCACTGGGTAGTCCATCTAACCGGGGTTTACCGGTAGCTGGAGGTCAAATCATTCAGTTGTATATGGAGATCCCCATGTATCATTGTGTTTATAAACATGACGCTTATGAACTATGTTTAAGCTGTTGGAATTGAAATATTTGGAAATATTTGAAGCTTATTTTTATATATTTTGAAATATCTGAAGTTTATTTTGAAACATTTTGAAACATTTGAAGTTAATTTTGAAATATTTGAAGTTCGTTTTGAATTTTTTTTTAAATTGTGTTTCACAAAAAATATGTGTCATGTATACTTTATGTCGCTAATAATATTTAGTGTGATTTCATGTATGGGTTTAACAATGCTTAATCGACTTTTAGAAACATACTATCATCATAAACGGCATCGATGAGTCTTCGAAAGTCCTGTAGAGGAGCTCCCCATCCTGGGTTGTCCAGGTTGTTGCAGACTCCACTCAAGGGGCGGATGGTGAAGTCGTTGGTGCATGTGCTGGAACCGTAAACAGGTGTATTATGTGAACAGCCTCATTTCCACAATTTAAACTAGCGTTCAAAAACATTGTTTTGGGATTTTGGCAAGGAGCTGAATATTAGTTCAACCATGAGCAGCCTGAAGCTAGCAGCGGGTTCGTTATTCGTTTTTCGAATAACAAATAACGTGCTAGCGGCGGGTTCGTTATTCACTCTATGCCTATCAGTTCTATCAAATATAACATATAAGATAAAAGCTATCCAGCACCGGGTTTGTCAAATAACGCGCTAGCAGTAGTGTGGTCATACACTGAAACCATGTAATGAAAGGCAGGTTCCTTTCACAGGTGTACTACTGTGTAGAGCACTTCTGAATAATGAAAGGCTAACCTACACCGGGCTCGTTATTCAGTGTATGTACATCAATTCTATCAAACATACGATAACAAATATAACATGTGGTATTTCCAGCGGGTCCGTGTTTCGTTATTCGTTTTCGAATAACGAATAACGTGCCAGCAGCGGGCGTTTGTTATTCCCTCTATGCCCATCAGTTCTATCAAATGTAAGATAGTCTATATTCCGACAACTGTTTATAACTCAGCACTTCCGAATTGCAAAATCCTTACCAGAACTGGGTTCGTTATTCAGTGTATATCCATCAAGTCTATGATCACCTGTCGGCCCGACCGCCCGGGGCGGGTTATTTTCAACACGGACTGCCAGATCCTTAAATTCACCTGCCCGACGGTCTCGTTAAGATTTAAATCATTATCATTTTACAAGTTTTATTTTAATTATACTAAGTGAATTAGTATTTTTTGTGGGAAGGTAGGTTTTGGTCAGGTTGGCCAGTTTTACATCTAACCAGCCCTGTGGTCAGGCTGAAACTTTTGGGAGTTTCATACCCTGCTGTGTCTACAGTCAATCTCCGAGCTACTGTTAAGTAATTCAGTACTTCTGAATTATGAAAAACAAAATATCCCCGGATTAATTATTTGGACATCGGACAACAAACAAATATAAGATACGACATTTCCAATTGTTTTTTCTATTTTCGTTATTTGTTCTCGACTAACGAAAACATGACAGCAGATGATTGTGTTATTCAAACGCTGTATGTTAACAATCATTGTAAGTCACCGTTATTCGAAAAACGAATAAGGAACACGCTGCTAGCACGTTATTCGCAAAACGATTCCGCTGCTAACCTCAGACTGCGTCCACCATACCAGAAAACAATAATATTTTGTTTCTAAATCCCGTGGCTATTTATTCTAAGCTATTTAAATTCATGTATTTTCAACAGTCTTAAAATAGCTACCGTATGTGAGAATGTCAAATATTTTGTGCATGAGGATCCGGGTAGGTATAACAAATAATCCAATAATAAAAGTGAAATTCTAAGTGAATGTTCATGGTGATACCCTTGTCAGTGTAGATCAGTGTGCGCTCAATTTTCATTCTAAGATCCTTAGGGAATATACAGACAGTAAGGGAGGCGCTGAAAGTTTGATAGTCACATTACCATTTCGTCCTAAGTTTCCTATGCTCATGCTGATGATCACTGGATTGTCTGGTCCAGACTTGATTAAAAAAAACCCGGGTCAACATGCATTTCATGCCAAACTATAGTCCAAGATCTTAATCCGTCAGTATTCTGCATTCAAGAAACCTATCTAAAGCAGACGGATCCTTTTGACCTACGTCAGTTTAATGCATATAACTATTTTTCTCCCCCAGGTGACAGGGCTACTGGTGGATCATCTATCCTGGTGAGGAATAATGTTATACATAGCCTAGTCACACTCAAAACAAATCTCCAAGCCGTGGCAGAGCGACTTACATTACAAGTTGCATTTACTCTTTGTTCGTTGTATCTTCCACCTTCATCTGCTATCCAGTTAACTGATCTACAAGTTCTTTATGATCAACTACCTAAACCCTGTTGATCATGGGTGATTTAAATGGCCACAACCCACTCTGGGGTGGTACTAATACCAACAACAAAGGTAAATTACTGGAGGATTTCATCTCAAATAATGATCTATGCATTTATAATAACGGTTCAAAGACATATTTACATCCTGGCACAGGAACATATTCAGCTCTTGATTTGTCTATTTGTGATTCCAACCTATTGAGTGAATTCGAATGGTCAGTCCACGATGACCTGTGTGGAAGTGACCATTTCCCAACAATATTAAAACCCGTGAACCCAACTGATGTTCCTCCAACGTCAAGATGAAATTTTAAAAAGGCCAACTGGCCGTTATATGAAAAACTCTGTACTGACAAACTTAAACCACAACGTTTTATTAATGTTCCTGATGCTATAAAATATTTCTCTGACATATGAAGCACCATAGTTGATAAGTGTATCCCAAAGTCCTCTACAATTACACACATACGGAAACTGATGCTGATTGCAAACAGGCTAGGAAGGCACGGAAAAAAGCTGAAGATTATTTCCGTCGTCATCCTATGGTCCACAATTTTAACAAATTTAAAATCTTAAACGCTAAAGCACGGCGTACATTCAAACAAAATAAACGCCAATCTTGGCGAAACTATGTATCTAATATCAATTCCCGAACGCCTATTTCCAAAGTATGGAATATGATCTAGAAAATAAAAGGTAAGGGCTCTAGATCTAGCATTCACCATCTCAAAGACGGAAACCAGTTATTAACTAATAAATCCGATATTGCTAATAAACTTGGCGAAACACTGGCACAACATTCTTCCTCCTCAAATTAGGTACCTCAATTCCATGAGCACCATACTGCTCTTGACCAGGCCCACGATACTGCTACAGGAGCTGCTAACATCCATTATCAACTTCTGAAGCATTTACCGGAATCATGTTTAGAGACCCTTTTGAATATTTCCGATTAAATGTGTACATGTGGAGAGTTTCCTTCTTCATGGCGCGATGCTATTATTGTACCCATCCCTAAACCTGGGCGTGACCATACTGATCAATCGAATTATCGACCGATCTCACTAACTAGCTGCGTTTGCAAAACCATGGAACGCATAATAAATAATCGACTTGTGTAGTACTTGGAAACTAATAACAGATATTCAATGTGGTTTCCGTAAAAACAGAAGTACCATCGATCATTTAGTGCGTTTAGAGTCCTTTGTAAAAAATGCCATTATTCAAAAACAACATGCAGTGTCGATCTTTTTCGATTTAGAAAAAAACATATGACACAACATTGAAACATCGTATTTACACGATTTTGGATTGAGAGTCCGTTTGCCTCAATTTATATCCAATTTTTTAAGTGACAGGCAATTTCAAGTCCGGGTGGGTTCTACCCTGTCTGATCATTACAATGAGGATCAAGGTGTCCCACAAGGTAGTATTTTGTCTGTGACTTTATTTAGTGTCAAAATCAACAGTTTATCAAAGGTTTAAAATGATTCAATTGATGGATCCCTTTTTGTGGATGATTTTAATATTTCTTGTCGTGGTAAAAATATGCATACTATTGAACGGCAAATGCAGTTTTGTCGAAACAAAATAAATAAATGGTGTCTAGAAAACGGCTTTAAATTTTGTACGTCCAAAACTAATTGTATACATTTTTGCCGTAAATACAAACCACATAAAGACCCTGAACTATTTCTAAACGGCACACCTATCAAAGTTGTAAAGGAGGCCAAGTTTCAGGGTCTTATTTTCGATTCCCACTTGACGTTTTTGTCGTATATTAAATCACTTAAGGCTAAATGTCTGAAGCCACTCGACTTGTTAAAAGTTGTTTCCATTTCAAAATGGGGAGGGGATCAAACTACCCTATTTCACTTATACAGATCACTCGCTCCAAACTTGATTATGGCTCCACTGTATATGGTGGAGCCTGTAAAAGCAACCTTAAAATATTAGATTCTATCCATCACAAAGGTCTCAGACTTTCTCTTGGATCTTTTAGAACTTCTCCTGTTGACAGTGTCTACGTCGAAGCAGATGAGCCATCTCCTACACAACGACGTATAAAATTATCTTTACAATATACTACAAAACTATACTCTAACAAATCTAAGCCTGCATTTAATTGTGTCTTCGATCCCCTCTATGAGGATTTATACAATAAGAAACCTTCTCTTGTTCCGCCTCTTGGTCTCAGAATTAAACCATTCATTTCTGCTACCGGCATTGAGCTGGACAATATATCTCCTTCCCCGTCTCCTTTCTTCTCCTCCTTTGCAATTGCTTAGGCCCCAGGTTGACCTAACATTGACCACATTTAAAAAATCCGAAACTAATGAATTACAGTATAAACAAGAATTTAGTCAGTTAATAAATAAATATAATACATACAAATCCGTATTTACAGATGGGTCCAAGGATGGGGCGCAGTAACTTGTGCCACTGTCATTGGATCCAGAACAATAACTTCGCGATTGCCTGATAACAGCTCTATTTTCACAGCAGAAGCAAACGCAATACTAACAGCTCTTTAATATATTAATAGACACCCCAATAAAACAATATATTATATTTTCAGATTCTCTTTCTTGCCTTCAGGCTCTAAAATATGTCTCTTGTAAACATCCAACAAATCTGTGACACCACTTCTTATTCCATACTCTGATTACAAAGCTAGCATTAGAACTTACATCCGTGAGCTTATGCAAAAGAAGTGGGACACCCAAGTAGGTATCAATAAATTACATGCAATAAAACCAACTATCGGTTACACCTACTTGGGTTGTCAGTCCAGATTTGAAGAGGTCATCATACGACGATGTCGTATTGGCCACACAAGATATACTCATGAGTACCTACTAAAAGGTGAGGATCCTCCGTTTTGTATCCCTTTTGATGAAAGAATCACGGTCAAGCATGTCTTGAATATTCCATCACAAGGGATATCTATTTCAAATCACGAACTATGAAGGATCTTTTTAGTAATATAAGTTCTCATTTCATTATTGCATTTTTAAAATAATTAGATTTGTTAACTGATTTGTAAATAGATAAATATTTTATGATTGGAAGTTTGAATTAATAACTAAGATTGTTAGTGGCTGTATCCTCAAAGGGGGGTTAAAGTACTGTAAATTTATTGTCCTCCTGAGAGGATACGTAAGTTCACAAACATTCAAAGTAAATTGAAACTCTCCGCTATTTTTAATCGTAGAATATGTGTGTGTTTAAATGTATGGCTAGATTTGTCTACGTTGCTAGCGGCTGAGGGGATGGTGTAAATCCAGCTAGGGTCCATGTAGGTAGCAAATGTACTATGGTGATCTACCTTCAGTCGTTGGCAATCTTCAGCCTGTTTTTATATTGTATTGTCATTAATAGTTCCAATATTTTAGATTTAATTGCTAGTTTTAAATGGATATCTGTGATACACTAGTAGTTTTACTGTTCTTCGTCAACAGGTTTTTTAAATTCTAACTTTATTGATCTTTAATATAATTATAAACTGTTCTCGTCACGATATGGCTCGTCACGATATGTCATCAACTGACATCAATAGACTGACCACTGGTCAGATTTGTTGACTTTCACAACCAATATAGGTTGTCCAATATAGGTTGTTGGGCCCTTCTCTGACCTGAATACCGATGGGGAGACAAGCTTGGGTTTCTGGGGGCATATTCAATTCAATGAGTGAGTGAGTTTAGTTTTACGCCGCACTCAGCAATATTACAGCTATATGGCGGCGGTCTGTAAATAATCGGATCTGGACCAGACAATCCAGGGATCTCAATTCAATACAGACGCAGATGCGAATTGTCAGGGATAAACGGTCGTGGTTGACATGGCTATTGTAACTCTGAAGTACTCTCCGTTTCAAACGGCTCTGTACTTTGCTTCTTAGCTTCAAAGACCCGTGAAGATCCGGGGTAGAATAGGTCTTCAGCAACCCATGTGCTTGCCATAAAAGGCGACTATGCTTGTCGTAAGAGGCAACTAACGGGATCGGGTGGTCAGTTTCGCTGACTTGGTTGACACATGTCATCGGTTCCCAATTGCGCAGATCGATGCTCCTGCTGTTGATCACTGGATTGTCTGGTCCAGACTCGATTATTTACAGACCGCCGCCATATAGCTGGGATATTGCTGAGTGCGGCGTAAAACTAAACTCACTCACTCACTCTTAAAACTGTAGTGTTAAACGTTTGCGCTTTCCACCTTTAAATGGGTATGTCAGATGATGCACGTATACATTGGTATTATTTCAACGGTACTTTAGATGATAGTTTAAACAGTATCGATGCGCGTTATTTCACAAAGTGCTTTATATGCATACCAGAAGACGGATAGATTTGTGTTGTTGTTTTACATAAAGTGAGTAAATTATGTGATTTTGGGCGATAACACAACCTAATCACAGCGGCGATTGGGAAATCGAGCCCTGGTCTTCGACGTGATACATTTCGTTTATTCAATATGATATCTAATTTTGTGTTGCTTTAAACAGTTTATCTTTTAGGTATAATTTTCAACATCATTGTGATTAGGTGTTATTTGGAAATCACATGAACATCACAGCAGTGACTTTCAATATAGCTGTGTATATTCCATGTTATATTGGAAAACTTGCTAAAAATAATTTACACAAGCGTTTATAATGGCGCTCTTCGTAAGCTGACGCATCGTATAAAACTACCTACCTGACCCTTGAGCTGAGGTCAACCTTCTCCCGAGCCACAATCTCATTGAGTTTCGATCCAGGGTGCCACGTCCTAGCAGTAGCTGGATAAGACCAAAATTAAAGAGCTTTAGGATGGAATAAGGAACACATAAAGTGATTGGTGCATATTCTTGTACCCAGCCAGTAACATTTAGGGGTTGTGTTTACACTCATTAGAAGGGTATACGAGTGAATGAGTGAGTTAAAATTTAACGTCAGATCGGCAATATTTCAGCCATATCGTGACGAGAACATTTGATATTCAAATGAAATATATGTAAATTATAAAAAACCTGTCGACGAAGGACAGTAAAACAACTAGAATATCAGAATTACAACTAAAACTAGTATGGAGAGTTAAAACTGATAGCACTATTTGGACAATACAATATAAAAACAAGCTATAGATCGCCAACACCAGTAGGTAGATCACCAAACTAGGGACCATGGGGACTTACAGTACCTTGGCTACCTGCATGGACCCTAGTTGGATTTACGCCATCCCTTCAGCTGCTGGCGATTTAAGAAATGTTAGCCACAATTAAAATGACAAGAATGCTACGTTTAAAAATCCTGGCAAGTTTAAATGGACTTTGAACATTTTGGGACTTACGTACCCTCTCAGGAGGACAATAATTTTACACTACTTCAACCCCCTTTGAGGGTACAGCCACTAACAATCTCAGTTACTAATCTAAACTACCAATAATAAAATATGTATCTATTTACAAATCAGTTAACACAAGGGTACACGAAGTATGAAGTCCAGACTACCAGTTGTCCGGCTTCCATTTCTGTCGAAACCGGGAAGCCTGAATCAGTTAGATCGCTGACGTTGTGTGCTGGCGATTAGGTGCCTGGCTCTAAGTGTGCTGGTTCGAATTCCGACTGGTACTCAACCCCTTAAAGAACTTACATCTGTACTTAAGTGAGAAAGCGAAATCCCAAATTTAACATTTGTTACATGATACAAATCTACTGTGGATTCATCAAATCGGCAATCGCCGTTTTCTTACTTCTTTCCACTGGCTTAGAGTTTTTTTCACCGTGATGTAGTTGAAGTTTTGGCTTACACACATCGGTTGACGTACGGATATCATTTGATAAAAGACAAAGAAACAAGCTTGTTTCAAGAAATACTAAGATGCTTAGCTAAAAGACCATAGGCGCACACTGCACTTTACTTTACTTCCAAGTACACTTTTTGAGTTTGGTCTTAATATGATTGACGTCAAGATATTCCTTGTTGTCATGACCTCCCCGTGAAACAACAAATTCGTGGTAACGATGTTCTTCAACAATAGTCTGAAAATGACCAATGGTCATCTAACGTAAGTGATTCCCTAAGATAAACATTCACATCATGACTAAGTCATGGGTTTTGTCGAGTAGAAAAGAAAAGAACAGTTTCACATTATAAAAATGAAATTATTATGTGAAAAATACTTACACGCAGCAACAACCTCTAAGAGGCAAACACCGATGAATACGTGGAACATCATAGTGCATAAAGTCTGCAACCACTGAGAGAGGTAAATTCACGCTGCTTATATAGTCTTTAGACAAAAAGCCAAAGATAACAACGTGTCACTTCATTAAAACTGTATTTTTCGTCAAAATAAGCAATTCTTTTATGGCGTGAACAAAATTATGTTTAATAACGAAATACATAATGTTTTGGAGATCTGAAAGGGTTGATAACGGTAATCTTTAACAATGCCATATGGAATTGCTTGACAGTCAATAATATCAACTGATGCATATCAACCAAATAATAGCAACATTCCAGGCAGCTATCATAATATCTAAAATAATATCTAAGGTATGTCCATTGTCTGCTGCCTTAATAAGTGAAAAGTGTAGGCTGATTCTAAAAGTTATTAAAATCATACCAGTTCCATAATTTCGTGTCTGCTATCGCTGTCTATTGTGTGTATGTGTGTGTGCAAGGGAGAGTATTCCTGTCTGTCTGTCTGCGTGTGCATTCGTGTGTGTGTGTGCATGTCTGTGGATTTGTGTTTGTGGGGGCTTTGATAATATATTTGGCACAAGTACCATATTTTAACGTCTTTTGGTATGACGCGGCCGGGCAAACTGGTTGGACATTACAATATTAATTTTATCATGAACACCGATATGTGCTTATAGCCACTGGTGTCATCACTGACTATCCGTGGTCAGTACATAAATTTATCATGGCTACATGTATATACACATACAAGTAAATTTTTTAAAACCTATTATCACGGCGATGTGGCTATCGACGATGATGCTATGTTAATGACGTCATTGTTTAGTGGCTATCACTGTCAACGCAGAGCACATTCTGGATCATCAACGATTTTAGAGGAAATATTAATAAACTGTCAAATATTGATAAACTGAACTGGAGAATTGGAGTAACTAATCTACTTAAATTAAGGACATACAGGTTGTTTAAATATGATTTGTATACTGAATTCTACGTCACACTCCCACGACCACTGAGATCAGTTGTCACACCTTAAACTAACCTTAGAAACGGGCAGATTTAGCTCCCTTCCAATACCAGCGGATGAACGTTACCGCAAACTATGCATCACTCAGTGTGTAGAAGACGAGAAACATTTTGTTACCTGTTATCCGTTCTACAGTGACGGGGTGGTGGGGTAGCCCAGTGGTTAAAGCGTCCGCTCGTCACGCCAAAGATCCGGGTTCGAATCCTCACATGGGCACAAAGTGGTGTCCCCCGCCGTGATATTGCTGGA